TATATATATATATACATATAAAATATGAACTAATTAAAACTGACTATTGTTGGCGCAATTTTAACAACGGGAAAAAATTTACTTTTAAAGAAAACATATGAGTAAATGATGAGAATAAACTAGATATAATGAAACTTGGTAAATGATGATAGGGAAGGGATTAAACGAGATTCTAATTGAGTTGTCGGAATAATCATGTTATCATCGATAATTCCAAACGATGCCGGGAGAACAGGAGGATCTTTTTAACAAATTTCGGCTGACAAACGTTTAATAATGACTAATTTTATTTGGACGATTTATTTCAGCTGAGCGTCCTTGGAAATACGATTCAATTAACCGCTTAGCTGTTGCGCGCAGTAACGTTGTTCTAGAAACCGGAAATTTGGGTAATTTTGCCGGAGTCATACGATCCTACATAATCAGTGAAAGACGACGACGGTGGGCGTCGTGCTGCAAAAAATGTAAACGAAATCAAGCTGACGAATGGAGAGACACAAAATGAATGACGTAATGTGGAAAGAAAGGAAGAAAGTAAGGAGAATGGGAAGAATTACGATCAAGTAGAAGAGAGAAAGAGATTAATCAGAGCTGCACATACTGCTACGTGCGGCTGTATTTGTCTCGAATGTGCGTCGCAGTGTCGCAATTGATCCGTCGCGCTGACAGTGAACCGACACAGAGTGGATACTCTCGTTTGCCCTTCCAAAATTTATGTCGTAATAGTAACATTTACCCATGCATCTTACAGTTGATGGCATGTCTTAATCCCGAATGCATTTCCACGCCAGCAAACATTTGATTATTTTTGATTTGACATACAAACAATAAGCAGATGTATGTACAAAAAACATAATGTTTTGTCGAATTTAAATAAATAGCAGATAATAAATCCTAAAAAAAATTAATTAGATCCTAAAATTATTGTATATAATAAATACAGTCATTTTTGTAAAAAATTGATTAAAGTTTTTAAAAATTACGTAAAAATGTTTAATATAAAAAGAAGAAAAGAAGAAATTTTGCAAAAGCAAATTTTCATAATTTGTATATTATATAAAAATTCTGAATAATGTGTTTTTAAAATGATAAAACTTTCGAATACGCACAATTTTTTCTAATTTTCAAAACACTCGATCAACTTTGTCAATGTATACATTTCAGTAAGTACTTTGTATGTGACGACTGGACATTTTCTATCAAAATCTCTATATTCTACACTAGGTCAAGTGTCGAATGTTTTGTAAATTTATTTATAACCTGTGTCTGATATTGGAGAAAAAGATGCCCTCTTCTGTTATTTGTTGTAACATCAATCTGCTAGAAATAGAACAAACGAGAGCATTGCGATAAGAAATGCGTAATAAAAGTATAAGCAAAAATGTTGTGTTGTTATAAAAATTATAAATACACAACTAAGTAAGTAAAATATTATAAATATATATTATAATAATATTTGTAATATTATTACTATTATATATATTAAAAACATCTATTTATTATTTTATAAAAAGAAAGACGAATTTTATTGAGCAGAAGTTGAGCAGAATCAATGATTGAGACTCATCACGCAGTCGTCTTCTTTAAATGACCCAGAAAAGCTCTTTAAAACTGGTAAGTCTTATTATCTTGAGAATGATTATGAAGAATTAATTATTATTAGATCATTATTAGTCAATTACCATCGATAAATCAGGAAGTTAATAATGAGGCATGTCTCTCTTGATGTTTGTGCAATATATTCCAAGATTATAAATCAATCGTTCAAATCAGAATCGTAAGAGAATAACGACTATTATTATAGAATAATATTTATAAAAACAAAAAATTGTTTGAGAAAACCTTTTCAAGAATAGTGACAATCCCTTCACTATGATATTTCACGGGCACAATACATTGTTAAAACTATCATGGCTAAAGTGTTGGATCCAAGTGTTCCGCTCTCATAGAAATATCTATTTGTTTTTCGAATATAACGTGTTACTTCTTCTTTTATAATTTTTAATAAAAGCTAATTGAAACGTTTCTATAAAATTTTTATAAACTAACTTTAAAAAAAGTAAATTAATGCACACAATTCAGAATATAATATTCAGAATATAAATAATTTAATATGCACAAACGCATATCCAGAGGAATTAGAGATTTCATCCCCAAAATTTTTTAGTTATTTTTTAATTTTTAATTAACATATAAATGATACAACTTAAAAATATAACTTATATGAAAAATATAACTTTACCTAACTGTGACTCCTAATAATTTTATTGCCTAATAAAATATTTGTTTCTCTCTGTTACGTTTGTATAAGGAATTTTCGGAATTTCCGTTAATTAAAACTTTGACAAAATACCCAATACATAAGGAAATTTTTACAAAAGTTTGCTTAGAAAAACAGAATATGTGCTGAGATATTAATAAGAATATTTATTCACAACATATTTATTCACATATTATATTTTTAATAGCTATATCTTTCCATATTTTCTTCAGAAAAAAAAATTATGATTTACAAAAACTAATATTTTTTCTAAAATATTAAAAAAGTATTTCATTAACGCAAAAAATTGCTGTTTATACAAAATTGATAAAGAATCTCCCTTCTTTCGAAAAAATCTTGGATACACAGATGTTAATATGTGATGATAAAATTAAAGAATATTATACTTTGTAAAATTCAGAGATGTTTATCGATACAGTTGTTTCATTTAAGAAAAGAAAGCAAAACTTGTCATTTGAAGACAGATATCCAACATAAGAGATTCATTCGACGAAATTCCGTCGCGAGATAAGAAACACCTGCTACAGAAATATTTCAACGTCAATGGAAAGAGCTGCGAGATTCCTTTAAAATTACATATCTTCGCAATCTCATATTTTCTGTATACCTTTTTTATAATAGTACGGTGAAATTAATCAAACATATACATATCTTTATACAATCTACGATTTCTATAATCATTTTAACTGACATTAATTTTACTATGAAAAAGATATTCATATAATCTTGAGAAAAATATTAAAATTGCATAAAAAGATAATAATATCAATTTAACAAAAAAATTATTTTTTATAATTTAGTATTAGTTAATAAAAGGGTGTTATTTTCAAAATATATTGTGCTCATCAGACGACGTAAAACATTCATGAAACGCGTCTCTTCCGAGTTACAGTCACTTTTGGCACAGACTTCACGTCAGTACAGCAACAGTGTTTGTTGACAGCGTTAAAACTACGCAAACGTAATGTGTCTCTTTCGGATTACGGTTTTAGTTTTGGTTCTGACACATCAGGAAGTTTTGAGCGTATGTGCGTTTTCAGTGGAACATTCAGCTCTGCAACACATTCGACGCCCACAAAGATTGAATATCTCTAAAAAAATATACCGACTTTTTACTATTCTTGTTCATTTGTTGCAATTGAATAATTTGATTTATTGTAGAATTCATTAAGAATTTAGAACACGCTTGGTGTAACTTTTTTATCATACGATTTTTCAAAATATTGTTTTGCTGACAAATTCTTTTGACAACTTTGACAAATTTGATTACAATTTAGTTGATTATTTTATTATTATTATTTAGATTCTATTCATAACTTTGAGATAAATATTTTTTCCTTCCTAAATTTAAATGTTATTGTTATAGATCCAGGATTTAATGCCTTATCATTAATGCTTAATCAATTTATGGATTGAAATGTTAATTTTCTCGTTTCTCTTTGTATATTTTTGTCTACTTTTTTAGCTTCAGAATATAATTCAAAGTATGATGTAAGAGTGATAAACGTGGACGATGCACTTGAAGAACGTGCGGTAAAATCGCTTGGCGACATTTGGCTAAAGGAGTAAAAGGGATGGGAAATTCCGACCGGGGCGCCGAATCGGCGATGTGAACGATGCCAACGGAGGGGGTTTTACGAATTCGTCGCGCGTATTTCGGCAGAAGGATGGATCGGATGGACGGCACAGGAGGATGGACGATGAACACGCGCGACCGCTCTCTATGCGATTGCGGAGCAGCCGCGTCGCGCTGTCATCGTCGCCAACACTCTTCCTATTTTCCCAGAGTTTTGCTCGCACAGTAGTCTCTAGTGGGTTATAGTGCGCGAGCACATTCGCATGCGGGTGCATGTGCTGCTGGATGTAACGCTTGCGCAGTCGTGGAGCATCGCCAGACAGCTCGCCGCGACGGGTGCATCTCGCGGCAGTTCGCGGTCGTCCTCTAAAGCAGGCCCATTAGTCGCTCAGCATCCCCGACCGCGGCAAATACACGTTTTCATACATATACTCTTTTCTCACTTCGTTATTCGTTATATTTCCTCCGTCCTTTTCTATTCCTCCTCGTCCCATCATTCGACGAATCACTTAGTTCGATCACTTTAGACTCTTGCTACTTCAATTTTCACCCTCGATCTCATCTCTCCGGCAATTCGGAGAGTGGTCCCGGTTAGATGGACTTTGGCACACGTGCAAAACGCTCAACTAGACTGCACGTATCCTTCAGCATTCGATCTACATGTGTAGATACTCGTAATCCCCAAGAAAGAAATTGATGCCGAAAGTCATCCTCCACCGGCGCATTGTTTTTGGCAATCGAGCGATCGTTATCAAGATCATTTGCGCGAGTTTTTCGCGTTTGTCAATCTAATCGGTCGCCGATTGGAGCATGGTCCGAGTGTGAGGAAGTCTGTAGAAGAAACTATCGAGTGAAAGCTAACGAGACGACGTCATTCACCGCGACCGGAAGGTCGCGTAGGTGTCGAGGTTGGCCGGGGTTGTCGACACGGCGAACGCGTCGAGGAAGAGAAACGGCGGTGGCCACGGTTAACGTTTCGGCTAATGGTCGAAACGTCAATCCGTCAGTATACGCTCAAGTTCTCGATGCTGCAGCCACCGTCTCCCCTCCTGGAGATGGCGTCCCTGAGACTACCGGATTCGGAGGAGTTTGACGTTGATACGCGCCGCAGGAGTAATAATGGCAATGTGCCGGCCACGACAGTCGCGACCGTGCCGCCGGGTACCGGTACCTTCCTGCAGATGAGGGACGATCTGAGTGATTATTTCAACAATCTGATCACAGAAGCGATCGCGACGACGAGTCCTACTATGGAGGATCAAGTCCTATTGTTTAATGCCAGTAAGAACCTGTCGGTGATCGAGCACGCGTCCGATCGGTTTTACAGGCACAGCGTGGCCATGTCAGCGGTCTACTGTGTAGCATATGTAGTCGTCTTCGTAGTCGGTCTGATCGGCAATAGTTGCGTTATCGCTGTGGTGTATCGGTCACCTCGCATGCGGACCGTCACGAATTTCTTCATCGTCAATCTCGCGGTGGCCGACGTGCTCGTTATTGTCTTCTGTCTGCCGGCCACGTTGATGAGCAACATTTTTGTCCGTGAGTATCAAGATACTTTTTCTCTTATGCTTTAAGGATTGTTTTTATTTAAAGCTAAATAAATTTACGACGAAACAGAAATTTCTAGTATTTTTTAGATTCTATTATTTTGTAGATTCAAAAACGTATAAAAATTTTCCAGATGTTACTTTTCCAGATGTTACTTTTACAGTCATAGATATTCTATCAAATTTCTGTGTTGTTTAAATTGCATGTTATTTATTATATTATTTTTTTACATTCATTGGTAGATTTAATCAGCATTGATCGCGAGATAACTTGTAAATCATTTTTTACTCCTACGCGCAAGAAATGTTCCTTCGAGCATAACGAAAATATTTATGAGTTACTCTCCAACGCTAAGTGTACTCCATTTAGAAGAAGGAAGATTCTCAAGGGCAGTTAAGTGGTCGTCACGATGCATACAATTTTAATTTGACATTGTGAAATTTTCGTTTCAACCCCTTTCCCGATCGTGTAAGGGGAGTTGGTCCTAAGCCAGAGTGGGAAGGTGGTGCATTCCTTTCGTATTACTGTAAAATCGATCTCCGCGTCTCTCATTCCCTCTGCCACCGTTGGCACTCGAGGCAACTCTCCAATTCTCGACGAGTCGACAGCCGAATCGCGAGTAATCGGCTCGTTCTTGGATAATAGCGCCCGGCCCGAGTTAATGACGTGCGGCATGAATTACGAAACGGTGCGAGAAATGGATGAACAGCGTGCGAATTTAGACGTTATGTTATGTCGAATGGTATCGACACTATCGACTATATCGATAAGCGAAAGAGAGGATCCAATCCGAAGTAATGCAAACAGATCGCAGACTTACGACACCGATCGCAATTTGAGCAAACAAACGGCTTATTTGCATTTCCACGAACAGCATCACGCGGCTGATGCTCGAGTAGAGAGAAAACAGAAGAAAAAACACGTGGTTTGCCGCTCTTTAGAAAATCAACGGATCGTAACTCTGTAATTCCGTCTGTTAATACGTGCGTGAAAATCACGCGGTTTGCACGCATCGCCATATCGCATACGAGCTTCTAATTAACTTGTGCTGCAAGCTTCATAAAAATTCACATTTTTCGCATGCTTTGTTCGAGCGGTATATTGCCATAAAAAATTGATGCATTAATATCGTAATATTCAAATAGACATCTAATTATTTCATTAAATTACTACTAATATATTTGCGCGATAATTTTATGTAACATACATGTAAGATGATTATATATATAAAATGTTTTTAACGATATTTTGATTATTTTTTTGACAATATTTTTTTACAATTGGAACAAATTTTAAAAATGTAAAAACATTTTCTAAAGAAAGTGAATAATAAATTATTAAAGAAGTTTTAGAATGATAATATCCGTACTAATTACTGTTTCTTTGATTGACCTTGTACGTCGAATTTTCTGGAGCTTTTGTTCTCTTACTATCGATTGTACGTGATATTGCCATGTAATACGTTTTGTTTTAGCTTATATAAGTGCGTATTTAAAAGTAGAGACATTTGCAATTTTAATTTATACCACACAACCGTGTCACGTAAAATGAATGCAACATACGTATGGCCAACCATGTGGGAACGCCTTTCTGCCTTTGCCAGACTTATCTTATATATTTCACCAGTTGCGTCTCAATACACACATACATACGTACATTTATATATGTACACACATAAAATAATATATATAATATATAACGCACATATAAATACAAATATCATATATATTTATATTATATATAAATTGCTGCCTAAATATACTTAGTGACTCCATAGATATTTATATCTAACACTAGATCGCCTATACATCGTATAAAAATTCCAAAACCTATGCATTACACAGCGTGATATAAGAATAAAACGATCACGTGGTCACATAATGTATAATGGCCGCGATAGGACCACACATCAGCCACATGTTTGCGTTATATATTCATGCTTTTACGTTAAAAGTTACAATAACGATATCTTGCCGCGTGAAAAGTTGTCACAGTTTAAGTGGAAAAAATTCGGAGATAATATTTCGTAGATAAGCTGCAATCAATCATGGTATACGGTGTCGATGTAACATATATATGAACTTACATGCGCATGCGTTGACTAGTAATGTTCTACGTCACGGCATACACCATGAGTTTAGTACATACTTTTCGGAATTATATATTAGAGCCAAGTCAGCGATCTAGTGTTAGATACGGGGTTGGTAAAAAATATGTTTTAAATACTTTAACATGCTTAATTGGTGTTTTTAATATGCTTTAAATATGTTTTTTTTATAGCTATTTAAAGTATATTTGAAGTATTAAAAAGAT